TTCTTTTTTTTTTCTCTTTTTTTTTTTTTTTTTTTTTTTTTTTTTTTTTCCTTTAAGGTAGTGGGAGTGAACCCAGGGCCCCTGCACTGAGCTATATCCTCAGTCCTGTTTTGTTTTGTTTGTTTTGTTTTTGAGACAGGGCCTCACTGAGCCACTGAATAGCCCAGGCTGGGCTCGAACTCATACTCCTCCTGCCTCAACTTCCCAGAGTACTGGGACTACAGGCATGAGCCATTGTGGCCAGCTTGGCCATGTGATGTTTATAGTGCCCCATGATCTCTTATGTAGTTGGTTTTGGTTATTGAATGGCCATGTTTTATAGTTTGGATTTTGTTTCATTCCTCAAACCATTAGTTCCTCATGCTGCTAGCCAGTTCTCACCTCCCTATTTTCTCATCCTCCTTTTCCTTCCCCTGGTATAGATCAAAGTGGTCAAAGCGTTCCATAGTTCCCTCCATGAAAGCATTCAGAAACCCAAGAACCAAAACTCCATCCATAACTTCATGACCCACCCTGAATTCGCCATAGATGAGGAGTCACCACGAACACCACTGTTGGAAGAGCAAGAGGATGAAGATCTTGAGGTTTCTAAGACCGGGACTAGGGGGCTCCCACTGGATGATGAGATCACGCCACGTGCTAACCAAAACACCAACGTGGTGGATTGCAACCAAGTGCAAATTGTTACCTCCCACTCGGACAGCCCTCTACAGAACCTGGAGACGTCGGTTTGAACTTTCATTCTCTTGACTCCCACCCCTGTTGTCCCTATTTCCCTTTTCACCTGTCCCATCTCTGAGGTGAGGATGGGACTTTCGCTGTCATGACAACTGCTCCCAAGTGTGTGAGAACCCCCCACCTGACCACGAAGAGGCAAGAGCACAGACCTACAAGGATTTCAACTTAAACTTGAGTTTGTAGCAGGACCCAGTCAAACCCCAGGCAGGTAACTGTAGACTCAATGCCTGGGGGGCATCCAATGTCACCAGTAAAGGAATGCCGCCTCCCCTTCTGGCATCACCCAACCCAGATCCTCCCCAGCGTTCGTATGTGTCCCAGCTTCTGGATCTTGTCCTCTTGAGTCCTGCCATTTGTAAACTGGGGCTTTAGAGACAAACTTCTGCAAATGAAATTTGTTGATTTAAGGATAGAATGTATAAATAAATCAGCCAGTAGAGTGTTTTGAAAACCATTTTGAAACCTTACAACTAAAGGCTTCTAGCTTTTTCTGCCCCTAATGTTCTTTTGGTCTTTTGGGATCTTCTCTTCCATTCCTTCACCTTTTAAAAAATTATAAATTTAAGAGAATGGCAAGGACATAAATTGATTCAATTTTGACCATTCTCCTTTAGGGCCCCCGGAGAACCCTTGGCTTGGTTCTAGAGGCGGACGGGTTTCTTTGCTAAAAGAGTCCTTTTGAAGCCCTTAATACCTGATAAGATTGCTTCCCTGTTGTCGCCAAGTTAGTGTCTCCCTCCAAACTGCCATCTCGTCAGGGGTGTGCGGTCCTTACGTGCCAGGGAGAGCAGCCTTGCCCATGGAACATGCAGCTGTAATACAGGTATATGCAGGTTTTGCTATGGGCCTGGGCATCTTTCTGTTACGAAAGCGGTGGCAAAAGAATGCATTTAGTATGGCGCTGCTTGCTAGTTGATCCTGGAGTTTGCGGACCAGTAGCTTGCAGGCCCAGGGCCAGAGAGACCATCAAATACGACTTGTGGGGTCCTCCTTGGGGTGACTGCTGCTTTCAAAGGCTTCTCTAGGGCTCCTCCTGGGCAAGACTTGATAGTGGAGGGAGTGTTGAGAAGCCAAAGAGCCCCTCGGGCAGGGTGTGAGGAGACCTCCCTGCAGGCAGCAGACACCTTGAGCTGGGGGCCTGTGTACCAGCTTTGACATTCTCTTCAGTTTCTTAATTCTACTCTTTTCAAGATCCATAGTTTGTTCAGACTCAGAACATTCCAGCCTTTTACACACATTCTGATTTTGTAAATAGACATCCAAAGGGAGAGAGAGGCTCCCATAGCATTGTGCTGACTTAAGGGGCAAAACACCCATCCTGGAGAGCTCGCCTCCTCCTCCTCCTCCTCTCTCCTCCCCTCACACATCCCCCTTGAGCGCTGTCTTTGCAGTGTGCTCCAGGAAAGCCCTGTGCCGTCCTGCCCTTCTGGCCCCATGTGCACCTGCCACTCGGGAGTTGCGGGCTCATCTGAGACTTTTACTGGGACGGGGAGGAGCCACATTCACGGGAGCTCCATTTTATCCCTGCTGATACTGACAGAAGCTGTCATGTGGAATGGAGCTGACTGACACCCCGATTCCGACCTCCCAGTAGATCAGGGTCGCCCACCCCTGCCTTTCCAGAGTGTTGGGAGGAAGGAGAAGGCACTAAGGCTCTTAGGAATCGCCACATCTGTCATAGGAAAACAACTCTGATTTGGGTTTTGTGAGGGTTACATGTTTCAGCAGTCTTTTCTCTGTCTTAAATACCCATGGGGAAAAAACCAGCTCACCCAAGGTGTTAAGTGTTCACACATATTTACTAAGTACATTGGAAGATTTAATTTTGTCAAGTCTTTTATTACCTCAGATCATATATAAGAAGCAAGCCAATACCAAGCTTTGGAGGCCATTTTACCATTCCTGCCCCCAAAAGACTCTCATGGTGCCTGACAGGTTACTCCTGAGGTCTTGTGTCTACTTTTTTAAAGTCAACGGGTGTGTGTGTGTGTGTGTGTGTGTGTGTCTGTCTGTCTGTCTGTCTGTCTGTCTGTCTGTCGTGTGTGCTAGTTTCCATAGTAAGAGAAAATATAGAAATATTATGCAAAAAATATAGTTTTCTTTAGATCAGAAACTGATATTTTTGAGTCAGCCATATGTATTTTGTTTAAAGGATTTAAAATAAAGTAAGTGCCGTCATGTAACCCTGTGGAAGGGAGCACATAACCAGCTGACTGACATGACAGGTGAATTAGTATATTTGTAATTGGTTTAAAAACCAATATATTGTACTTCCTTCCTCCAAACAGCCATCTTTATACTTAGGGGAAAAATTTGTTGGTTTCTAGACTTTTTTAATATAAATTGTGTTGATACGGAATTAAGTTCAAGTGTTTATGTGCATATGTTTTTATATATAAGTTTTTTCTGTTCAGTTTCAGCGATCCGACTGGCAGTGAGTAAATACGGAGTAAGTTAAAAATGTTTTTCCCCAACATGGTGCTTTGGCTTTGAAAAGGGTCTGACGGGGAGAAGGAGAGAACATCCACCTAGTTTCCTGTCTTGATAACTAGGAAAGTGAATAGTAAACCGCGGACAGGGAGGAGAACATCCAGCAAAAAGAAACACAGCTGCCAGTAAGTGAACGTGCGGTGCGCCCCGCGCTGTGAGGACGGACGCCAGCCCGTTTTGTAGCTCGTGGTCAGGGTCCGGGGCCTTCTGTTGGATTTGTGTCTCTTGAGAAATGAGCTCGCAGAGTGGTACCAAAGAATCTTTCCTGGTCTGCAAGGATGCTCTCATTTGTAGTTTGCTTTTTTTTTTTTTTTTTGGTACCGGGGATCGAACTCGGGACCTTGTGCTTGCAAGGCAGGTGGTGAAACCACCGAGCTAAATTCCTGGCCTTTTTTTTTTTTTTTTTTTTTTGGTACCGGGGATCGAACTCGGGACCTTGTGCTTGCAAGGCAGGTGGTGAAACCACTGAGCTAAATTCCTGGCCCTGGTTTGCTTTTTTTTTTTGGCTGCTCTCTCACCCCTCGAACCCTCTGGAGTTTTCCATTAATGAGTTTTTGTGCACGGAGCTGAGTTGTGATTCCTTCCTCCCCTAGAAAGGTTTCATGCAGTGCCGATGGGAGACAGAACACCGAGTAGAAAAACGGCAGCTGGTTCCAGCCCTGGGTGACAGTCTCAGGGCCTTGTCTTTCCCGTGGGCACCCTCTGTCCTCGGAAATGACTCTCCCATACTTAAAAACATTGAGAGAGGCCATCTAGAAACCCTCCATTTGTGAATTCTTTGGGGTCTGGGATTTTTCTTCCCTTTGAGCTACAGGGAGGAATTTGCACAGATAAATCCAAGTGGTAACCTCACTGCGGAGCACCTAGAGGGGTGTGGCAAACGCCAGTGTGCCGGAAGACCCCTCGGTGTAGCTGTCCTTTCTCCCTACCTCCCTGGCCTTAGGATTGAAGCCACCCGCGCACCACCCTGGTCTGCACGGACGCTCGCCTTTCAGCCCACCCGCCTGCACTGGCAAACGCCTGTGCCTCTTCCTCAGAGTAGACCACTCTCCCTTCTCTTTAGCTCAGTGCCCGAACTTTTGCCTTCCCCGCTCTGCGGTTAGACCTACTGTGCCCTTTCAGCTTTTCTTTTTTAATTTTCCCCTTGTACTAGGGATTGAACCCAGGGGCTTCACACTGAGCTACATTCCCAACCCTTTAAATATATATATATATATATATATCCCCAGACAAGGTCTTGATAAGTTGCCCAAGCTGGGCTCAAACTTGCAATCTTCCTGCCTCAGCCTCCTAGGCATCCGTTTCCTCTTGATTAGGAAAGATGTAGGGGATGAGTCTCCTGACTGAATCGGCCTTTGGCTCATGTCTTCTCCCCATGTGTAAATAGGCCATGTGTTAATATGCCATATATATGTGCCAACACCTCTATGCTGTTCTTTTCAAATCAGCACACAGATAGGATTTGGGGTTTCTTCTTTTCAATCACTAGTATAACAAGCACTGGTATTTTTGTACAGAAAAGAAAACCAAACAAAAGACTGACTGTTGTGGTCTGCATGACAAACAAGTGGTGGCCGCCAAACAGTGTCCCCTGTGTGCGCGGCCATCCTCCGCGGTTCAGCTTAACGGTGTGCCCGGTCTGTACTTGCATTTTGATATTATTTAAACTCTGTGTACAATGTTTTGCATGTATTTATATGGTTCTTAGGGGAAATGCTATGAACTGGCAAATCTGAAATTCAAATGTGTTGTTTCACTGAGACGGGAAGAGAAGGGGAAACTCAAAAGGAATAATTTCTTGGAACCAATAAAGCTTTTTGCTGACGAGCAGAAACCAGTACTGCCATGCACTGAGAATAAAATCCATGCCCACTTGTAGCTCTGCTGTGCTCACTGTGTCTCCACGTTTGGGTAATGCCACCGACTGCTGTTGGCATTAAGACGAGGGCTGCCCCTCGGAGCAAGCACAAGTTCTGTCGGGTGAAGGTGGCCGAGATCCCTCCCGACTCTGATACCTTTTTAGAAATTTAGTTACCTTTAGTTGCTTTTACTGCAGAAAGTCCACCTTCCCACCTCATTTCCCATGGCTTTTTTTTTTAAGGTTTTATTCATTGAACCTCTAGCGCTGACCCAGTTTCTTGTCCAAACAGCTTCCTAACAGGTTATTTACCTTCTGAGATGTCATAACTTCCTCCTACAGCTCTTAGCCAGGTACACAGCCAAGTTCCCTGCTCTCTTAGAAAACACCACAGGCAGGAAAGGACTTGTCCACTGCCCTGGGCTCCCTTAGGGTAAACGTGACGCTAAAGAACACCCCAGCTCTCCGGCAGCATCCGTGGTGGGAGAACGTTCCTGCGGCCAGAGGGTTTAGCCCTTTTCTCGCCTGCCCCAGGCTGCTCTCCAGAGGCACGGACACAGCATGCACTTGGCTTACGTTAGAGGCTAGGAGTCATTCATGTGTTCATTAAAATAAATTTTAGGGTTTTTCTTTAAAGTGGCCAGAATTTATTTGATGATAATCATAAAATACAGTGGACCCTTGAGTTACGACCATCCACAAACAACTTGGGATTACAACTGGAATTTTAGTTTTATGACCAAAGTCTTGAGTTATGACCTAAATGCCAGCCACTTATGCTTCCAGATGGTCTCAGATACAAATTTAACCCTGAAAGAGCTCTGGAAGGAACACAACAGCATCCTTTCCTGTGTGGGGCTGAGAATCCTGGGCCAATGTCTAAGGACACAGATCTGCCTGGAAGAAAGTGTGGCCTAAAATTATACAAGAGAGAGACTTTGAAGGCTGTATAGAAGAACCTGACCAACTTGAGTTACAAACAGCCCTCGCGAACAAAATGAGTTCGTAAGTCAAGGGTCCACTGTAGTCACAACAGAACTAAAGTTTAATTTTCCCATTGTAAATTCCCTCCTAACTGTTCCTTCAGGGAAGCCAAGCATGGTGATGTATGCCTATCATCCCTGCACTGGGAGGCTGAGGCAGGAGGATCACAGTGAGCTCAAGGACAGCTTGGGCTACAGTGAGACCCCATCTCAAAAAACCTTTACTAGAAAGGATGCAACATGTGTACACATGCCCACCCCCATAAAGCCCTTTTAAAAGCCTGGCCCTGCATTCCCCCCTTACTCTTTCGTCTTGTCTTTGTCAAGCCCTTGATTTGTGCCCCTGTTATACCAAAACAGCATCTACAATTCAACCTTCCAATCCCGTAATGCAGTAAGGAAAGCAAAGAAAAGACCTCAAAAATGTCACTCTGGCAGAGACCTTGGTGCCCTAAGACATTGGCTCAACAAACTGCACAGGCTGGCGGAGGCCCTTCAGGCCGGGCGACCCTGAGGAGAACACTTCTTCCACCTTTCTGCCTACCCCCATTCCAGAAGATAATTGCTTGGGCCTCTGTCTCAGTAGTGCTTTATAAGGTCTGCTTTCGTGGCTATGATGTCCTCTCACTGTGGCCACTGGGTTGGTTCAGAATGTTCCACTAAGCCTGCCTGGTTCCCTCCGAGCATACACTTGCCTGAGTTGGCTGCAAACCCCAAGATGACTCACTGGTTACCAGCCCCTGAGCTGGATCTGCTGGGGCGTGGCCCTCAGACCAGGAAGGAGGATGAGAATGCCACGTCCCTCCCCAGCAAATAACTTGGGAACTCTAAATCAAGATGCAGACGTGTTTCTATCTCTGTGTGGCGTTGCTAACGTCTGTCGCCTCTGGGGTGAACCTAAGCCATGAAAGGAAAGAACCTGCTAGATTTGTAGGTCTCGAAAAGTGGTTTCTGGGCCCAGTATCCTGATGTGGAGCCAGCCAGCGACAAGTCTTTATATCTCTAAACTTTTCTCAAATAGCCTCCCGACCCAGCACTGCCTTCCTGTCTTTGGAAGAGCGGAACGCGGAGAGCACTTGGGGATGGCTGCCTGCTGCAACTCCAGAGAGATGGTGTCAGAGCCACAGCGCTGCTTGATGCTTGCTTGCAGTGAGAGGTTTCAGGGCCCATGTGCTTGGGGAGTCCGAGCCAACTAGAAATGTAAGCTCCTGCTCATGAAATCTCAGAAGGCAAATACCTGTGCTGCGTGACCATTGCCATCACACGGATGCAGCTGTCCCTACTCCCGGACAGACTTAGGCCCTGTGCCCAAGCTCACACTACTTGGCTGCTCCAGGGTCCCCTGTAGCAGAGGCCGCATTTCCTGTCTCCTGGTGCTCCCCTTCTCTAGAGGCGGCAAAACTTTGACTTGTGTTTTAAAACTCCAGATCTTCATGCTTGGGCCTATTTAATTTGTTTGTTCTGGAGGTGGAACCCAGGGCTTCACACGTGCTTGGTAGATGCTTTACCCCCAAGCTTCTCTCTAGCCTCCTAGGCCTAGTTTTTTGTGAGTATTTACAAAAACTTATTTGAAGGAGGAAGTAAAGCTGGGGAGAGAAGGGCGAGAAACCAGCAGCTGCCTTCAAGCACCACTGAGAACAAAAGGAGGTCGTGCTCATCCAAGACGCTGAGTTGAGAATTCTCTGCACGCTCCCTGTCAGAGCTCTGGGCTGAGCTGCTGAGAGATGAGTAAGAGTTTGATGTTTGGCAGACGGGGGATACAGGAGACACGCGTGCCCTACCAGTCCAGCTCCTTTGCCGGCTTGGTTCCCTCTACAAGATCATCATCCGTGATTTTCACATTACACTTGGAAGATCAGGAAGAAGCTCCTCAGAGTCAATTAAGGGCCTGCTGGTGTTCGACAAAAATTGCTCTCCTTTAATGTTTTTGGCTTCCATGTCAACTGTCACTTTGTTTTGTTTTTTGAAACAGGGTCTCACGATGTAGTCCAGTCTGGCCTTGAATTTACTAGCCCAGGCTCATGGCAATCCTCCTGCCTCAGCCTTCCCAGTGTCAGGATTACAGACATACACCATCGTGCCTAGTAACTTTTAAAAGTGACTTTAAAAGGTCCCAAGTTTGAGCCCCGGGACAAAAAAATAAAAGTGACTTTAAAACACTGTGGACCTGTTCCTCTTTAAGGTCTCTGAAATATGAGATATTGTTATTCAAACTAAAAAAAAACAATAAATCCAGGTGTGGTGGCACATGCCTGTAATCCCAGCACTAGGGAGGCTGAGGCAGGAGGCTAGCCGCATATTTGAGGCCAGCCTAGGCTACACAGTGAACTCAAGGTCAGCCTGAACTATGTAATGAGACCCTAACTAAAAAAAAAAAAAAAAAGCTGAATTGATCCAAGTTAGGTGACAACATGGCAAATTGTATTTGTTTACATAAGCCTAATTTGGATCCTATCTCGGGATCACATTTTTTCACTATATACACAAATAAAACATATAACAGCCATGTGGTCCAGCCTGTCAAGGCTACTGTATAGCTGATTGTGCAGTGGAATGAAAATCTGCTTTGGAATGTGTTTTGGGAAGAACGGTAGTTTGGAAACCTAGAGATCTGGCCCAGTGGAATGGCCTAAAATTAAGGAGGAGCAAAATGCGTCCCTCAAAGTAAGGCGGGAAGAGCCAGGCTGGGGAATCAGACTCCCACCGCCTGTCCGTGTCGTGGTGTCATAATCTCGAACCTTTTGCCATGTGCCTCAGGGTGAGTGACACCGCCTTCTTGCTCTAGTGTGTGGTTGCTATTAGTAACTGTTGGAGAATGTCTCCCTGCCCTTCTCCGTCACTGCTTTTCTCCTACATGCGGACAGGCCTCTCTAAGCTATGCCACTATATCTGCAGAAAAGACAAATTGCATCACACCCTTGTTTCTTTCCTAAAATCCAGCACTCACACTCACCTAGACCTGTGAGGGACGCCTCTGAATCATCGTATGACGCTCCTCATTCAGACACGAGTCCAGTGTCCAAGGAGCCAGGTACTCTTGTCTGTACCGAAGGCAAACAAAGCGAAGTCCTTGGCCTCTTTGTGTTTACTCTTGTGGAGAAGAAACAAAACAAGTAAATACACAGCATGTCAAATGGTGAAAAGGGCCAGGGAGCAAAGAAAGGAAAAGGGCGCAAGTGCAAAGGCCCCGGGCCAGGAGATCTTGACTTGTTTGAGGACACAGAAGCCTGCACTGCAAAGTTCTAACAGTTTCTTGGTCATGCTGCCCACATTCAGGGGAAACGGAAGGCCAGCACAGCATTCGCACATGTGCCTCAGGTGTGCCTGACCTCCAACTAAGGGTGGTACAGGCCGGTCCAAGCCCCACTGTCATGCTGTTGTCCTGTGACACACACACACACACACACACACACACCCCACACACCCCGCCCGTTCAAAAAAATGAAGACACTGCTTCTCACTCTCACCTGGTCAGAGAAGCAACACCTTGAATGGATGAAGCAGTCTACTTACACCTGCAGGGCACAGTGAAGCTGCTGGCCCCAGAAGGACCTAGGACACAGGGCCTGCTCTGCCCTTGGGGCAGCAGACTTAGGAAAGAATGTTCTTATCTGTCCCTGACACCTCCCTCCCCAACACCACCGTGCTGAGTCTGTGTGGAGGGAGAACTTTCCCAGTCGGCTGGCATTCCTCCCTTCCAAACATCCCCGTCTTCCTCAGGGCCTTGGGTGGTGAGGGGGCAGGGAGCAGAGAAGGGAGCGCTCAGCTCTCCAAGGGTTTGAACTCAAAAGGAAAAGGAGGCCTTTGCCGCCTTTGTTCTGCTTCAGACTTGAGGCTGGAGGCCAAGGGAATGGGGGGGATATGGGGGTGCAGTTCCCCTCCCTGAGGCTGCCACCCCCCCCTCCCAAACCTTCAAAAGTAAAGCCTGGTGGAGGCAATCATGCCTCATTGTTTTGGCCCAAAACTACAAGAGCTACTGTGAATACCTCTGTGGGGCAAAGGAGACCAGGCACAGAAGCCCACTCCCCCTCCTGTGAGGCTGCCTTGTTTCTTCAGCTGATGAATGCACAGCAGGCAAAAAAGACCAGATGCGGTCCCCAGGGGATCGGCCACCACAGACGAAGTCACAGACTCACAGCCTAAGCAAGTGTCCACTCCACAGGGGGCCAGGTGACTTGAGGCCCGGCATGGCCCAGGTGCCAGACATGCAGGAAGAAAACCCGTCCCTGTGCCCAAGGGCTGCATGTGCTCCGGGAGACAGATGCCGCCGAAGCCAGGAAAGCCCAACAACGAGGGGGCGCTGTCCCAAAGTCGCACAGTGCCGCAGGGACAGAAGAGAGGAACGTTCTCGAGAGAGGAAGGCCCTGGCCACATTTTTCTTTTAATAACAAGATTTGCATGGAAAAATGACACTTGACCTTTGTAATAACTCAGGCAGTAACAAAGTGTGGTTTTACTGGGATTTTTATGAGAGAAAAAGAAAGTGCTGATGAAGCGAAGGAACTTGTGCAGAGTGACCCCGGGGTCTGTGCCAGGTGTGCGTCGCACAGAGCGCCCGAGAGCGGCCGGCAGAGTGGCCGCTGCCAGGGAAGCTCTGTGTCTGTTTGATAGGAAAAGCCAGGGCCTGGGGCTGGCAGTGGGAGACACCCTGTACCTGCGGTACGTGCTATTCTCATACGTCACCATTAGGCCCTAAAATCATTTAAAATGGTTACAAATGAACACTAGAGCAGTCAGGTTTAAAACATACACTCTCCCAGGATGAACAGTTTCCTTCTACTCTTCTTTTTGTTTTGTTTTGTTTTTGGAGACAGGGTCTCACTATGTAGTTGAGACTGACCTGGAACTCACTATGTAGCCCATGCTGGTCACGACCTCACAGTGATCCTCCTGCCTCAGCCTCCTGAGTGCTGGCATTACAGGGCATGCACCACCACGCCCAGCCAGTGGCGAAATGGATAACTCCTCTGACTACAGATCAGAAGATTCCACTTTTCTGATGAATCATCCTGGAGCCTGGTTCTGTTTTCATGAATCAGGAGCTGGGTTCTGTGCTGAAGGGAGGGCAGGCGGGTGGGGGTACTGGAGGGAGCTAGGGTGCCTCCTGAAGCCGGAGCATGGGGCTTTGTGAGGAGGTGGCTTCCGGCAGGTGCAGGGCAGGACAGGATGGAATGACAGCTCTGAGAGCAGCAGGCTGGCCAGATGAGTGAGCCCCGATCAGACTGGGGGAAGTGCTTTGGGGAAAAAGTGTTTTTCATGTCCCAGTCAGGGTTCTGAGGTTTGGCTCTCTCTCCCTGCCCTTGCACCATCTTCCAAGTTCCTGGCTCACATGCTGCCCCTCACTTTTCCAGTGGCCTAGGACGCTGGCGCAGCCACCAGTCAGCTGTGCAGTGGCTTTTGTGAGGGGTCCTGGTTCTTACTCAGACCTGACCCGAAGGACACGTGGACAGAAACCCAGGTTCCAGCCCCCGAACCAGCTACTACGAAGCTGTGTCTCTTTCTGCCGGGTCAGGATCCTGGGATGGAAGGCAGTGAAGACCTGGGATGGCGAAGCCCTCCGGAGAGCTGGTCAGGGCCATCTGCAGCTCCCTAGGGGCCCCATGAGAGCCTAGACAATGCAGGGCAGGGCTGAGGACCCTCGGTGTGCACTGGGAAGAGATGTGAAAGAGGCTGGTGACAGGGCACCAGTGTCCCTGTCATTCATCTGGGATCAATGAGATCGGAGAGCACCCTCCTGTTTTTTAAAAGCAGGACTGAGGCCTGAATCCAGGGCCTTCACACTGAGCTACATCCCCAGCACGCCCCCTCACTTTTTTGCTTTGAGACAGGGTCTTGTTAAGTCATTACATTACCCATACTGGGCTTAGACTTGCAATCCTCCTGCCTCGGCCTCCCAGAGTGCTGGGGTCACTGGCATGCTCCAGCATATCCAGCCTCATGCCAGTCTTAGAGGTCCCTTCACGTTGGACTCTCCCAAGACGTAGAGTGCTTCTGGAGGTGAATGCGGGCAAGAGGTGAGGAGGGTCCGAAACAAACTGGGAACAATCTTCAAAGCTTGGGGTACTTCGTGTGGCCTCTGGGGACAGCCCACCCAACAGGAGGGAGCCCCCGTGGGCAGCCCTGAGGAGCAGGGGCAGAAGAAATGGCCCCCGAGTCTCTGCTAAACAGGGTTGTCTCTATTTGCAGGCAGTATCCAGGCCAGAACTTCTCAAGGTGCTCGTGAGACCCAGACCAATTCCGCCAACATCATCTGGAAAGAGTAGAATTTTATTTTTCTTCTCAACCCAGGAAGCAGAGACTGGAAAGTATAGATGCTAAACCTGCCCCTCTGTACCAGAGCTCTGCCCACTGAGTCAGACGCAGGTACTCTTTAGACCCACTAAAAGCACTGTGACCGGGGGCTCAGAAAGCCAGGGGCGGGCAGTGCAGTCCGCCCTCCCCTACCCCACTTCGCATCCCGTGCACCACAGCCCACCTGGCAGGCCCGGGAGCCGCAGGCCGAAGACGGCTTTCTTTTCTTCCCTCCATCAAGAGCGCGCAGCACTTCCTGTGCCCCGGCTTCATTAGCGCAGCGGTGGTGTTGCTTCCTGTCACTGACTCGCTGTTTCCATTCTGCCAAAGCGGTTTGCTGTTTTCGCTCTGCCCCGGGGGTTGGAGAAAGAGGAGCTTCTCACAGAGCCTCTCCTGGGCCTGTTGGCAGTTTGTCCCTCTGTGCCCCTCGTTTTTCCACCAGAAGGCAGAGACCGGAGCCTGTCGCTGAGCCGCGTGAACACTCACCTCCTGCAGCAGGCCTCGTGGCCGCACCAGGTAGAACCAACCTGTTGTTTTTGTATGGAGGATAAACTCAGCCTGACATTTCAAGGGGAGACCTGAGGTGGGAGTCTGGTGGAGGGAAGGAGGTTCTAGAACAAAAGGCCAGACGCTTTAGAAAGGAAGAAATGAAAACCAAAACTTTTCTTTTTCTTTTTTTGTGAGGGACTTTGGTGAATGAAGATTTTAGGAAGAAGAAATTTGGAGAATAAAAGGGAATATTTGTAGACACAGAGATTAGGAGAAATCCCGTCATTCTTGTATTATCCCCTAAAAAAACCTAAAAATAAAGGTGGCTATATGGAAACTGCAACCCAGCTTGCCTTTTAGGAGCCAGCGACATAGGAAAAGTGGCAGGCGTGCTGGCTGGCTGGTTGTGACTGAGACCAGACGCAGAGGCTGAAGCCGGAGAGGACTGACGGGGTTCCCACAGGATGGACACCACCCCAGCCCCTTTGGAAGTCACAAGGAAGACGCTGGACCCCAGTACGCCACGGGTGACTTTCAGCAGCCTGGAAGAGTGAGTGACTCGGGTGAACCCTACGGTCCCCTGCTTAGACACTAGGTCCAATCCGAAGGGCTTCGAACCGGCAGAGTTGCCGCCCTGCACAGCCAGGCGCAGGTCCCTGAGGAGGTGCTGCCAGGAGGGAGAACTTCGGGCTGGATCTCTCTCCTCTCAGAGGTGCTGATTTCTGCCCCCAAACTTTCCCATCTCAGGGCCCAGGATGAGAGAAACAAAAGGCACAATTTCCCAGGGATGTGTCTTCAGATCCTAAAATCTTGCCACAAATGGGAAATGTAGTCATAGATATAATAAAAGTGTGTATTTAGAACATTGAATCTCACCAAACCAACTGTAGGTATAAATTCAATGTTAATGGTTTCAAATCTCATACAAACAAAAATAAGAGATCCATCAAGAGTAGAAATTTTAGGGACACCGGTAGGTGTATATTTCAGGGCCATGATAAAAAACAAACCTGATTATAATAAACTTTTAAATTACTATCATTTGGGGAATTAAATGTTATTACCAGAGCATACACGTTACTTGTAGGTAAACACAGGCATTGATAAGGAGTGTATTCGTAAAAGAAAACTGAAGCATCCCCTAAAAAAATATTAATTTTATTTTCCAGTTGAAAAAAATTGTATGTATTTATTGTGCACAACATGCTGTTTTGAAATACGTATATATTATAGAATTGCTAACTTAAGTAGGTAATATACACATTACTTCACATATTGTGCACGTGCACGTGTGTGTGTGTGATGTGTGTAACGCTTGAGATCTACACTAAACAGTGGTCAACAGGACCATAGGAGCTTTCAACAAAACTGTGTTGCACAACAGAGATGTTGAATTTGTTCCTTTTAAGTGAAATTTTGTATCCTTTGATAAACATCTCTGCCCTCGCATCCTCCAGCAACCACTATCGACTTAACGTGAGTTCAGCTCTTTTTAGATTCTCTATGTAGGTGAAATCGCGCAGCGCCTGTCTTTCTGGGCCTGGTTTACTTCACTTAGCATAATGTCCCCCAGGGCCACCCATGCCGTCCCAAATGACAGCAGTATCCACTGAGTATGAGTACCACATTTTCCTTACCCACTCAGTGCTGACTGGCACTGAGGTTGCTTCCATGCTGTGCACACAGCCATACTGACCTCTAGAAGGCCTGGGAGGGCAGACACACCGGTCTCACTCACCCTGGCTATATACCCAGCAGTGAGAATGGTGGCAGATCTTACAATAGCTCTAGTTTTAATTTTCTGAAGGATTTCTATACTGTTTTCCATAGTAGCTCTAATACCCTCAAAACGATTTCCATAACTTCTGCTATGATTATGATTATTACTATTAGTAGCAGTAATAGTAGAAGTATTTCATCTATTTATTTATTTCATGAATATTCATCAGGCTCCTACTAAGTACCAGGCACTGTTTAAGATACTACGTGAACAAGACAGACAGCCCAAGATATCCTGAAGTTTCTGGACAGATGACAAACACATAAACAAATGAATGCGTAGTATATCAATCTATCAAACTATTTTGAAGGAAGAAATAGAGCAGCATTAAGGGAGCTGTGAATAATTGAGCGAGGCCGGGGAGTCTTATCTGAGGAGGTGACATTTCAGAGGAGACTTGAATGGAATGAGCCACGCAGACAGCTACCGGAGGACGGGCCTGGGGAGGAGGGACCGATCTGAGAAGAACTGTGCTTTGCCTGGACACAACTGCAAGGAGCGCCAGCAGCCAAAGTCCAAGGCAGAGCGACAGGAAAGAGGTCCAGAGGTAGGCAGAGGGCAGATCCCAGGGTGCCATAGTCTTCTCCGGGCTAGGACTGCAGACCTAAAGTGTGGTGGGAAGCCATCTGCTACGAGCGGAGGAGGGACATGATCTGACTGCTTTCAGCCATCGCCCTGGCTCCCACGTGAAGGTGGTGTGCCAGGGGAGAGTAAAAGCCAAGAGAGCCATTAGCGGGGTTACTGCAGCGCCCACGGGGGACGCACACTGGTGACAGCGGAGGAACAGGAGGCGACTGGGATGGGTAGATGCCTGTGCCCAGGGTAAAGCAGGCAGAATGTGCTGGGGCACGAAGAGTGCAATCGAGAATGACGTCGAGGTTTCTGACGGCCACTGGATTACAGGAAACACGAGAGGAAGAGCTGGTCTGGGGAGGGAGGACTGGAGTTCTCTTCCGGTTTGAGATGTGTTATGCAGGCTGGTGGAAATGTCCAGTAGTAAGTTGAGGAACTAAACCTAAAGGTCATAGGGCTGGGGATTTAGCTCAGTGGTTCTGCTGCCTGCCTCGCAAGTATAGAGACCCAAGTTCGATCCCCGGTACCAAAAAACAACAACAACAAAAAACAAACAAAAAAAACTAAACCTAAAGGTCAGGAGGACAAAGAGCTTCCCTGGTAGGTGTCCCAGTTTCTACTGTTGAGGGTAGCCGGTCAGCTGCCGGCTCCTGCTGTATCTTCTATTAGCTGCTTCCCGTTAGAGCAGGTATAGTAGGCCCCTGGGGTTGTGATCATCTGGATACTGTTCAACACTCAAGCAAATCCCAAGTAACTCCAGCCCTGCCAAGGAACCGCAGGGAGCACACAACTCGCACTGGTTAAGTCCCACCCAACAGTTGGGTGTTGCTTGGATACCAGGGGCACAAATTAGGGGTTTACTCAAGTTCATACAAGCTGGCCTTTGTCACGGAGCTGCTCCCTGATCGCCAGTTGGGCAATCCTCTCCTCCAAGCAAGCAGGGAGGCCCGGGAGCAGGGAGCTTGGAGAAGCAGAGCAGATGGATTTGACTTGGCCGGCTTGGAGGATGGTGTGCGAAGGCGAAACGAGCATGATCTTGGGACCCAACCAGACCTAGACTCACATTTCACCTCTGTGCCTCGTCCCTGGTTCATCTTGGACGTGTTACTTGTTCTTTCTGAGTCTAAATCTTGGGTTCCTTGACCACAAAGTGAGGTAGGGTTGTTGGGAAGGTTAAATAAACTGTACCTGCAAACCTCTAGCAGCCGGTGGGAAGGGAGTGTTCCCTTCTCCCATTCAACCCCGCTGTGCATGTGCTTGCTGTTCAGAGATGATCCTCGCTTCCACCTCAGCTGTCCCTCACCCCAGTGCTTGGGCCCCGAACCCAGAAGGAAATGTCTTCCCCAATCTCCATTCCTACCGTCCTATGGCCAGCTGGGACAATGGAACTTGGTTTTTCTCCTAGAGATAAAGACCAGAGCAGCACCGTCTTTTCTGGGTTTGCCGGACTCCTCGCCATCCTCCTGATCCTCATAGCTTCCTGCATCCTGTGGAACTGGAACAAAAGGAAAAAGCGTGAGTCCCTTCTTTGTTCCAAGCTGAAACACAGTGGTATTAATCTTCCAGCTTGGTATTTAAACTAAGTTTGTTTTCCAGCAATGAACTTTTCTTTCCCTCTGGCATGGGGGATTGACCCCAGGGCCTTCACACTGAGCTGCGGCCCCAGCCCTTTTATTTTTTATTCTGAGGGAGTTAGGACCCTCTTGCTTCAGCCTCCAAGAGTGCTGGGATTATGGGGTTTGCACACACCCAGGCCCAGCAGTCAGTCACTGCACTGAGGAGTCCTTGGTCATTTGGAAGCTGGTCTTGAGCTGTGGCTCTAGTGCCCCTAGGAAAGACCTTGCCCTGGTGCCCCTGTGCCCAGTTCACTCTTTCTGCTTTTGTCTGCTTAGTTTCCTGTTCCTCTGGCTCAAATAGAAATTATTTTTTTTAATGAAAGAGCATTTTTATTAACAGATAAAGAATATTCATGTGACAGCAAAATTAAAAAGCCAACAGATGAAAAATGCAAACTTATTAGACAGGAAATGAAGAACAGGAGCAAGACCCTTCCACAAGAAGCAAAGAGTTAGCCAAAGGCTCAAATGCAAAGTCAACAACCAAGCATTAAGTGGACAGACACCGCTTTAAATCTGGGAGCACAAAGGTTGGGATTGTAATATTTCCTAAGTATCTAAAGTGTTAGGCACTTTAAAATAATTCTCATTCATTTCTGTGGTCCTGAGAGTGAATACAGGACCTTCCTATTATGATGTATCCTCAGTCCTTTTAAAAAACATTTCCAAAGGCGAGCATGATGGCACATACCTGTAATCCCAGCACTCAGGAGGCTGAGGCAGGAGGATCACTGTGAGTTCAAGACCAGTGTGGGCTACATAGTGAGTTCCAGGTCAGTCTCAACTACATAGTGAGACCCTGTCTCAAAAACCAACCAAACAAACAAACAAATCCAGACACTATCTTGCTAAATTGCCAGGCTGGGCTTAAATCTATGTTCCTCCTGTCTGCCTCAGCCTCCCAAGTGATGAGATTACAAATTCTGGAATTACAGATAGGAACCACCATGCTCAGCTCAGAGAACCTATTGAGGAATTAAGACAAACCAAAAGACCAAACCTGGAGTATGAGAGATTACAGCAACTTGCTCAAACAACCAAGTAAGGCTAAGACTTTGAAAGCTTAATATTCTTATCTCTTGGACAATAGCTACCACCACATGGCTATGATTTTTTTCTTTCAGTACTGGGAGTGAACCCAGTGCTTTTGCACTGAGCTACGTTCCCAGACCTTCAGAATGCAAAATTTTTTTGTTGTTTTTTTGGCTTTTTGTGTACTGGGGATTGAATTCAGGACTTTGTGCTTGTGAGGCAGGCGGCAGCACCTCTGAGCTAAATTCCTGACCCCTCAAGATGCAGTCTTGGCTTGAATTTGTGATCTTCCTGCCTCAGTCTTCTAGAGAGCTGGGATATATACAGGCGGTGATCACCTTTTATTAAACAGATTTCCTTGCAAACATGAATAGTGTCAGTTTCCTTCTAGCACTGAACATCAAACCCTCAGCCTAGACCTACCAAATACTGTACCAGTTGTAATCCCAAACAGTAGTCAGTCTTGTCTTCAGAAATGTTATAGGTGAGCTGGGGATATAGCTCAATGATAAAGCACTTACCTCCCTGAAGCCCTGGGTTCAGTCCTAGTGCCACAAAAAAATAATTTTAAAAAGAGAATAGTAAAAGTCTGTAGACTATTTCAGCAGAATTCTAAACAGTAATATACATTCAAACATTCTATTTTACTTAATGTGATGTCTACTCTGAAGGAATTCAATTTTCCTTTTAATTCTCATGTAAAACTCCTCCTGACTGTTCTATTACTAGCCTTCCATGTGTTTCCAGATATTTCATTGGGATTTTTTCTTTTTCTTTTTCTTTTGGTACCAGGGATCAAACTCAGGCTCTTGCGCTTGCGAGGCAGGCAGCAGAACCACTGAGCTAAATCCCTGGCCCCATCAGGAATTTTATATACAAACCTTCAAATAGAAATTCTTCTAGCTCAAGTCTAATAATATATTTTTAATGACACCTGGTGAGGGTGGGGAATATTCCCAGGGTCTTGTCCCCACGCATCCCCACATTCTGTGCAGGTGAACCCTCCATGACTCCCATCTCTCCCATTGCCTTGCAGGGCAAGTTCCTTACCTTCGAGTTACCGCCATCCCCTCACTGACCCTGCCTCAACCCAGACAACGAGCCAAAAATATTTATGACCTCTTGCCTCACCGACAAGAAGAGCTGGGTATGTTTCTCCCAGTCTGTGGAGCCCTGATGTTCTGAACTTCTGCTCCCAGAATGCACCTGTCACCACTTGGAAGCAATTCTCTCTAAGCTTCCAGACTGTTCTGCTGGGAGCATTGGGACTGGAATGGAGAGGCTGTGGGCTGCACCTCCAATGGGGGCTGAGCCTACTCAGAGGGCAGCAGAGAAACAGTGGGCTTGGGGCTTTGGTTTTCTTGGTGCTGAGGCGGCAGAGGAAAAGCAAGGTGTGCCCAGACACTGGAAGCACACGTGAGGAGGTCATGATGCCACTGTTCCTGGAAGAGGATGGGGGGTCCTCCTCAGGGGCCTCCAAGGAGGCATCAGAACACATCCTCCAGTAGCTCTGACCTTCTCATCACAGAACACCAGGGCCCAAGCTGAACATACAGGCACTGCACAGGCCCCAGTCAGCCAGCATTCGGGGACTGTTTGGGCAGAAGTCCTGAGAAGACTGCCTCTCTTGAGGATTCATCTTTGTCATTTCAGGGAGACATCAGTCACGAAGTATCCGTATTTTCAGCACTGAAAGCCTCATCTCCAGAACCTCTGACGTCATTGAGCGTGTGGTAAGTGTCAAGAGAAGGCCTGGGGATGTCGATGAGGGCTGGAGCACTTGCCTGGCATGCATAGGCCCTGGGTCCCAACTCCACTGCCACAAAAGATCAAATCAGACCATATCATATCATTAAATAAAAGACAAGCCCCTTGACGTGACAGGTGTCTGGCAGGGAACTGAGGAAATGAAGTCTAGGTCTCAGATCTGATTTCACCACAGACAGCATGTCCTTTGGCCCTTCCCCTGTAACCCTATTAATAAGTTGGAAAGACTAATCTCATGATCTATTTTGTAAAGAGAAAAATTACAAAAGACAGGAGCCTGAGCTTGGTTTTAAGAAAAGTACATGTGGCCAGATGTGATGGTACACACATACAATCTCAGCACTCAGGAGACTGAGACAAGAGGATCAGAAACCTGAGCAAGTAACAACTGATTTCAGCAGTGTAACAACTGTTTAAAGGTGGAAGTTGGGCAGGGGATTTAGCTCTCAGTGGTTCTGCCGCCTGCCTCACAAGAGCAAGGACCCAAGTTTGATTCCTGGTACCAAATAAAAAGAAAGAAAGAAAGAAAGATGGCAGTATTGCTACCAAAACTAATAATCAAGATACCTAAACCACTGCTTTCCAATTCTTTGGAAGAGAATGAGGAAAACAGATCAATGGGCAAATTGGAGCCTTTCTCAGCCTGCAAAAGAGATCACCTCCACAGATAGAGTCAAGATAATGGTTCAGGAAGTGCACCCTGGGCCCTAGGGCAAATTTCCTAAAGCATTTATGTGATCTATCCAATCACCTAGGGAATCTTCCCTAACTGCAAGACATGGCTAAGGTTTACTTAAAATCTGTTTTTAAATTTCTATGTTTCTATATCTGCAACATACTCCTGAAACACACAGATAAAAACTTAGTGATTTAGCAAGACCCTGCCTCAAAGTAAAAAATGTTAAAAAGACTGAGGATGTAGTTGAGTGTGACGGCCCTGGGTTCAATCCCCAGCACTGGACCTTCTCTTCCAAAAACGATAAGTCACATGTATTTAAGTACCCGATGTTAGAACTGAAATTGATTATTTTAACAAATAACACTGTAATACGCTTATCCAAATGAGTGCCGTTCCCTTCAAAGTAATCACCTCGAACACTCCAGCAGTACCGTTGATATTTAAAACCCTGCTTTAGGAATGCTAGAGCCTGTGTCACAACTCATAACCATAATTCTGTGTCTCGTGGTTTGGCTCTGAAGCAGCTCCCAAGGAGTCCAACACTGGCTGCAGAGATGTCAGAGACAGTAGATGGCTCCTGTGAAGGCTGGGGCACTGACTTTCATAGACACGCGGTTTATTTGTCTAAAATCCAGTCCCCGCGATTGTGCTGTCTTCCTTGGGTAAGCGTGGTGCTGCTGCTGAGGGAGTCTGTTGTTACTCAGCCTCTCATTACCCAGAGGCTCAGGCTCAGTTACTATGCAACCACCTCAAGTCACCCATCTTTGCTGCCTCCGCCTCCTCCCACACGCTGGGCTCTGCTCCTGCCCGTCACACTTCTTGGGGAGCAAGTCTGAGTGGCTGAGAAAGGGCAGAGAAGAGGAAATTCCATTGCCAGGGCCAGTTCCGGGACCTGGGCGGTCCAGGGAGGCATTTAGAGCTTAAGCCAAGACTGTCTTAAGTGCACCAACGGTTTGGGTTGGACGCTACAGTGTTTGAAGAACATTTTCAATCAGTTGCCAACATGTGAAAACTGAAGTCATTTCGCCTTGAAAGTCCGGGTGTCCAGATTTTCTAAAAATTCAGAAGTTCTGGAAACATCAGACCATCATCCTTAAATGCCAAGAATCAGCTGCACCTGTTTACCAGCTGTCCCTCTTATAATAATAGTGAACACTTGCAGAGTATTTACTGGGGATCCAGCTCAGTGGCACCACGAGGTCCAGAGTTCAATCCCTGGTACCAAAATAATAATAATAATAAAAATAGCGAATATTTTTCAGTGTTTTGTTGTTGTTGTAGTTGTGTTGTTTTTCTTCTTTCTCGGGATCTAACACAGGGAGTGCTGAATCATAGCCCTTTTTTTATTTTAAGACAGGGTTTCCCTGAATTCTTCAGGCGTCCCTGAACTCGCAGTCCTCCTGCTTCAGCCACTTGAGTAGCTAGGTGTGGACCACCATGCTCATTCAGTTTTTAGTGTTTTCTAAGCGTCAGGAGCATGCTCTATACATAGTAATCCATTTAACCCTCATAAAAACCTTATAAGATAGATGTTATAATCATGCTCACTTTAATAAACTAGGAAATGAAGGCACAGAGGGATTCAGAAAGTCTCAGATTTGCAGCCGGGTCTGAATCCAAGCCCAAACCTTCAGCCACTCTGTTCTATAGCCTCACCGTGTGCTCTGGGGAGACAGGCTCTCTCCACTGCCCACGGAACCCCCACACTGCACCCCTACAGCGGTGTGATGGAGTCATCATCACATCTGCATAAATGCTCCCATTCACCCAGCCCACTTCCCTCCTACCCACCTGGCATCAAGCACCTTGCAGTCTGAGACTCCCGGTCTACAGAACTTTTCTCTCAGATGAAGGACTGAGGGAAGGAATCAGAGTGCAGGGTGGTGCCTGGAAGGGGCTGTGTCTGCATCTGTGCTCCAGCCTCGTCATGTTCTCTTCTTCCTCACAGCCCTCTCAAGCAGGCAACACCCTCTGGAGACACCGAGCCCACGTCCATGCTGTGGACTGTGCGGTGGGGGTCTACGACAACGCCACCGTGCCCCGGGCGTGCGGGGACCTCGCTGCCTCGGCACACTACGTCAACGTCGCAGCTTCGGGGGACGGCTCGAGCTCATCTTCAGAGGAGTCGGATGATTATGTCAATGTCCCCACAGCAGAAGATCCCGCTGAGCTGTTAACTTCTACCGACAGCCTGCCTGAAAATGTCTCTGTCCTTCCAAGGGTCCAAGGGCTGGAGTGTAACGAGGAAGGACACAAGAGCTGTGGGGACACTGGTGATGGCACCAGTTTTGGGTTTCCAGGAACTGAGGGCAGTGATCCGCTCAGCGATGGGGAGGGTTCTTCTCAGAGCTCCCATGACTATGTCAATATGACAGGTTTGGATCTTGGGGACATCCAGGAGAAGGAGCCCTGGGTGGATTTTCAGTGTGGCAGAGATTACGTAAATGTCCCAGCAGAGGGCCCTGACAGAAGCCAGCAGCAGGCTGAGGAAGAAGAGACGTCTTCGAGCACAGACCATGGAGAGGGCAGGACAGATGGTCCAGGGACCCACATCCAACCTGTCACACAGAGACCCCTGTCTTCCGGGTACTTCGTGGCCTTTCAGCCATCCTTCCAGAGTGGGAACAGCCAGACACATGGAGAAGAGATGTCAGAGGAAGATTCGGATGACTACGAAAATGTGCTGGCTGCAGAGTTAGAAGGCAGGGACTGGGAGCAGGGGCCTGGCCCTCAGCTCCTTCCTGATCAGTGAATACCTAGGTATCCAGCTGGAAAGCCTTGAGGAGCTGTCTATCCTGCCAGAGTCCAGCGAAGAGCCCTGAGTGCCACAGTATTTCAGTAGATTCAGCTGGCTCAGCTAACCAGAGGCTGAGAGAGGTGGCGAGCTAACAGGCTGCACAAAAGCAGAGGCTTGGGAAAGGAACTGTAAAAATGGTTATCTCTCATACTGACCTCAGAATGTTTTCTGAAAGTGCTGGATTGGACTGTTAGGAAATAAAAAACACAATAGAACTTAGTGCACAATGGACATTTATTCTGAAATAATTACCTTCACTAACAGAGGCAGCTCTAAAGCAGGAGTGTAGCTTACTTTGTGATCCAGGCAAAGACTGAATGTAAGGAAAAAGTAGGGGTGGGGTAGGCAATTTCCATTTTACAAAGAGCACAGATAGCTATGCATGTCTCCTAGCTCTCTAGACTAAGAGCCCTTGAAAGCTCTTGGTTTCTAAATGCTATTCTCCAGTACAGAGTTCCTTGGAAAAGTGGCTGGTTCTAGGGCTGGCATAGGGAAGATACAGGATGAGCTTGTGTACCTTGTCGAAAGGAGAGAAAAGAAAAAAGGAGAGACAGGGAGACAGAGAGAGAACAGCCAACTGAAAGAGCTCCCAAAGACAAAGCTAGAACAAGGTTAAATAAATTAGATGAGTTTCAAATAATATATGTAGGAAGAATGAGAGAAATTTTAAAAATCACAATAAAGATACCACAGAACAGATGAAGATTTGCTACAGGCAAATCCACTCATGAACATTGAAATTAGTAAAACTTTAAGAAGAAACGAAACAACTGCACAGCAGCAAAGAATCTCCTTGAAAACATTTCTTCACTGATTGTTTTTAACACATGTCCACAGTTATCTGATGCCTCCCTTGGAGTTTAATCCCCCTCCTCTTCAGTACAGGCTAAATCTAGTGACACTCTAATGGGTAGAGCACGGAAAGAGGAAAATAGTGATTTACAGGGGAGGGATGAGGCAGACACCACCCTCACCAAGGGACTCCAGTCAGCTCAAAGGTAACAAGCTGTTACTCTCATGTGCCCCGATATGATGAAGAATAGCACCCCAAGACCCATAACCTCAGTCTTATCATCAGAAAACTCCAGATTAAATAACATTAAATTAAATAGCAAAGACTGGACCAGAACTATTCAAGGTGTCAAGGTCTGGGAAGACTGTGAAACCATCACAGATTGGAGAAGACTAACGAGTCATGATGGCTAAAATGCATCCTGATGGCTTGGACTGGGCCTCGGAACAGCCCAAGAGGACTCTACTGGAATGAGATGAATGAGACGGAAAGATGTCCATACTGCTGCTAGCAGTATCATATGAGCGTTCTTCTTTTGTGGTACCGGGGATCAAACTCAGGACCTTGTGCTTGCCAGGCAGGCGTGGTGCCACTGAGCTACATTCCCGGCCCCAATCCCTTCATTTTTATACCTGTTCCATGCTTATGTAAGATGTTAGCTTGGGGGAAGATGGGGGAAGGATACGCAGGAACTCTCTCTTACCTATTCTTGTAATGTCTGCAAATCTAAAATTATTTCAGGATAAAAAATAATTTTAAAGCATGGACCAAGGTGGAACTGAAGCCGCCTGGGTTCATCCCATTTAAATAAACCACAACCATTCCGTGTCTCTGCTCCTTCCGCAAATGGGTTATAAATTATGTTTGTAGCTGCCCCAAGTATTGTTTGTTTTCTGAGCATAGATGCCCAATCCCCCCTGTTGATCTGCAGTCACACTGCCTGCCGCAAAATACATTGAAGTACTCTGTGTTCACCCTGGCTCCTAGCACAAGGATCAAAGTAAAAGCAGATTATTGACAACTGATGATTAATAAGGTGGTTCATTGCGCATACTTTTTTTCTTTCAGTACCATGTATGGAACTTAGGGCCTTTGCATTGAGCTACATCTCCAGCCCTTTTTTTAGTTTTCATTTTTGAGACAGGGTCTTGCTAAATTGGCCAGGCAAGGCTCAACCTTGAGCTCCTTCTGCTTCAGCCTCCTGGAGAGCAAGGATCACAGTTTTGTGCCACCAATGCCTCCCCAGTGCTCTCTCCTGTGAGAGAAAACATGTTGAGTGAGGTTCCTTCTGCTGTGGGATTCTAACGTGCAAAATACCTCATATTCGGAGTGACAGTGATCAGCAGACCCCTCAGGCCTTACTTCCCTGCGCCACATCAGAAGGCTGAGAGGTGGCCGAGCCTGGTCACAAAGAGAAGGGTCTCTTCCTTCACTGTCCCCAGAGCTCTGCCCAGGAGGAGGGGAAGGAAGAGAGTGCTGCCAGGACCAAGAGAGAGGGCTGTGAGGCAGCTGCTCTTATCCCACTTTAATGTGCAAGAGTAGGTGTGTGAGCAGGGGAGGACCCTGGGCCTGGGCCATCTCAGTGGCACATCAGCAGGGTGCCAAGACCAGGGGCCCCTGACATGACGGTGATGTGTTAGACTCTCTGAAGTGGCTTTGCAAGTACCTGGGTGGGGCAGCAGCAGATTGTTACAGAAATTGGATACATCGTGGGCACATTTCTTCAGAGAAATCATATTCACCCTCTGTGATCATAAAAAACAAAAACTGTGTCCAAGCATGGTAGGACACCTTATAATCCCAGCTATTCTGGAGGTTTGAAGTCATCCGAGCATTTCAGGGAGACGCTGTCTCAAGATAAAAATAAAAAGGGCTCCAGGTATTGTTTAGTGGTGGAATGCCCTGGGTTCAATCCCCAGTATGGCAAAAAGAAATAATCATAAAATAAATGTCTGGATTTTGGTGGGAGGCTGAGGCAGGAAGCTAAAGAAGGAAGACAACTGCAAGGCAAGAGAGTGTCCTGGGCCTGACGGAGTTTAAGGCCAGCCTATCTCAAACAAACAAACAAACACGTTGGCTTTGTCCCCATTCCTGACAGAAGTACTGGTGGCAACCTAAGACGTTTGAGGGGTCTGAAGTGGGGGCCGCTCTGAGAGACGTTGTGGGGTCCACACTGGCTCCAGAATCGAATTAAACTGTAGGGCACCCGAGTAATGTGGGGACAGCTGGGGAACTGGCTGGTGTGGAAACAAAACCCCAAATGTGTGGTGTCAGAAGTGTTATGAACGAAACCAGACCACCACCCCACACGAGGCTGGCATGGACCTGGGCACACAGACAGCGCCATGGCAGCTTGGTGATGGCCGGTTAGGGTCACCCCGGGCAGCAGCGAGCGCGGGGAGACGACAGAAACCACTGCTCACCTAGGAGTGCCTTCCTACCAGGCGTGAGGATGAACGGTTAATAGGTCAAAATGTCACACACTGGCGTGAGGGAGCTCTCGTAACTAAGAGGTGATGAAAAAACATGGGATCTAAATTAGATTTTAAAGCTGGGTGTGGTGCACACTGGTAATCCCAGATACCAGGGAAGCTGAAGCAGGAAGGTCAGAGGTTCTAGATCAGCCTGGACAATTTAGAATCTTGCTGAGGCCATCTCTGAATAGAAGAATGCCTCGGTGTGAAGGCTCTGAGTTCAATCCACAATACTGGGGTGGGCAGATTAGATTTTAGCAAGTGCTCAGGAGCTAACTATCACCTACAAGAAAAGTACAACCTATCAGTTGGGAATAGGTCCTGGAAAAAACTAAACCAGCTCAGGTTTAAACCCCTATAAATTAGATGGCTTGATAAGCCAGTTACACTTACATACTATTAATAAACAGTTCCCCGATTAATAAACAGTTGATTGTCTCATATTAAGTAGGTAACTTTTCTGTTTAGTTCTTGTTCTGAGAATTTTTACAGCTAAATCAATGGAAGGCTTTTTACTAAGTTTTCATTTTTCTTTCCTTTTATAGTTTCGTTTTCTTGCATTTGTTTTCAGGAAATCTGAGTAATTGTCTTGTCTCATATGCTTGCTAATGTTATCTACGAGGAGATTGTTTTCAAGATTAGGAGCTGCCAAAAGAATAGATATAAAGATAACTAGTCCATCGTGACTCCTCAATTAAATGTAGTGAATTAATCATCAAAACTTGTGTGTATGGGCTGGGCATTTAGCTCAATGGTTCCACTCCCTGCCTTGCAAGTGCAAGGACCCAAGTTTGATCCCTGGTACCAAAAAGAAAAAACAACAACCTTATATTCATTATGTCCTTGCTTAGAATACTGTTTAACATAAAATGCAAAAATGTTAAGTCCTCCATTTCTTTTTTTTTTACATTACGTATATTAGTACTTTGTATTAGGCATACAATACAGTTACATTCATCATTGGGATCGTGTACCTTCACATGACAGGTCTTGGTTCATATTTTTTCCCCATTGTTGATTCTTTTTGCTAGTTTCCCTGCCACTGAGGATTTGTTCATAAAGTCTTTTCCTGTGCCAATGTCTTCCAGAGTTCTACCTAACTCCATTTCTTTGTAAAGACCCCACCCTCTCTGGTTGTGAGCAGAAGACAAGTTGTGCTATCTCTCAGATACCATCCTTCCTGATCACGCCTTGCTTTCATAGAGTTTTATCACCATTTCTGGTTTTTCTGTGGACCAAGGGCTTGCAGATACTTCCAGGAACTCTAAATTAATAAGCCAGTGGCCTGTTCCCTGGAATTAGAGGGAAAGGAAAGGAGCCTCAGCAATCAGAGCCAGCTTCATAGACACGCGCCCTGTGTAGGGAGGCGCATAGAGCCCACGTGTGGTTTAATATTCTGCCGTCAGTATCTTCAAATTCTTTTTTTTTTTTAGAAAGGTCTCACTAAATTGATTAATTGCTGGACTTGAACTTCTTATCCTCCTGCCTGAGCCTCCCAGACAGAGATCTGGGATTACAGGTGTTCACCACCATATCTGATTCAAAATTCTTAATTTTGAAAGAAATTCTTCTCTTTGAACCTTTTATAAGTGAGATCTCCTGAGACGATGGAGAGTCCTCATCAGAAGAGGAGATACACACAATGTGCGAGTCCTTTACTTTTCTGCCTTCTTGCACATGCAGTGTTTACAAAGTCCTACGAGTGGAGTCTCTGGGGGACCCACGGTGGTAGTTAATCTTAATAGTTGGCTTCACTGGAATAAGAGACTCCTGGAGAGATGCTCATGGAGAGGTTAATCCACTGGTGTTCAGAGCAGAAAGTGCTGTAAGGAGGCAGGACCGAATGGAGAAGATGGGTCGCGGGTGGGTGTCTTCGCAAGATATACCTCTTGCTGGTGCTCTTCTCTTGGGCTCTGCTTCCTGGCTTCCATGAAGAGAGCATTTTTTCTCCACCATGCCCTTCTGCCTTGATGTTTCTGCAGGGGAGCAACGGGCCATGGACTAAATCTCTGAAACCGCAAGCCAAATAAATCTCTCTTCCTTTAAGTTGTGGCTGTCGGGTATTTTGTCCAAGCAATGAGAAAACTGATGGAGACACCCATGATCTGTAGAAGTTCACCAAGGCTCAACGTGAGTATGAGATAGGCATGCTGAGTCTCCAACTGGGTAACCCTAACAGTCCCTGGAGGCCATGCTTACCGTTCAAACCAGAATTCGCTTGGAACAGAGAAAGATAACAGTAACGTCCCAAGAAACACCAATGACTCGAGAAATCTTTCTTACTTACGTTCCCCCTCTGTGTTAGTTAACTGCTTGTGTTGAACCAACACTGAATAAAGCATCCAAAGTTCACTCTCCCCGTGACCCTGTGGCCATACACAGGTGCTGAGTTGAACAACTCTTGAATTCCTCTTGCAGGCCTGGGGGACACTGAATAGTCTTAAACCTCTATGTCCTGATTCTTCCCCGAGCACTGTGTGAGACATTTTCCCAAACATCTCATTTGACAAAGACTCCTGTGGATGTTAATGTGGAAGCCCTAGAAGGAAGGAACTAAAATCCAAAGTCTATAAAGAATATTTCTACTTGAACACCATATTGCCATCAAGTTTCATATTTCATAAGACTCCCATCACAGACGGCTAGGACTTCCTTCTCTCTCACTCATGACTTAATGTCCTCACAACAAACATGACATAAAGGCACAAGCCAGACATAAACGTTACCCAGCTTTTATCCATTCAGCAAATACTTAGAGTCCCTACTCTATACGACAAACTTTTCTGGACTCTGGAAATATAGAAGGGGTGACCAAACTATACGGTAAACGTTTAAGTGTTAAACATGTATTACAGTACGAGACACACTGCCATCAATGCCCCTCACTTCGAGTACACGTATGCCATCACGCTTGCCACTTTCTAAAGCGGTTCTGGGAGTTTTCTTTCACAAGCGGCTGCATGAGGAGTGACCGAGGCCACCGTGTACGCTGCTGCCATGGGCCATGCAACCGAAAGGCAGAGTCACAAAAACATTACAGTGCGCCCTCACCCGCCTTCCTGTCTGGATCTGGTACCGAGTAGCCTTTAGCTCTGCCCCCAAGTCAAAAGGACCATGAAAGGTAAATGTTTTGAATTGATTCAAGGCAGTAGTGCAATCGCAATAGCACAAGTAGAGACACAAAGGAGGGCTTCGGGGACGGCTTCAGAGAACAGCAAGAACAGTGGGATAAGGGCGTTCAAAGTGAGGGGGGATTAATGTGTCTTTTACTGTAGTGAGTTTTAAAAAATGGTTTAAACATTCGTTTGTTTGCTTGTTTGTTTTGTACCAGGGATCAAACTTGGGACCTTGCACTTTCAAGGCGGGCGTGGCAGCATTGAGCCAAATCCCCAGCCCATTCTTTGTTTTTTTGATCACATGTAACTATGAATAAGTCAGAAAATAACTGTCTTGTGGAATATACAATGCAGTGAGGAGACGGATAATTAACAAAAAATAGGGTAATTACAGATTGTGTCTGTGCTCTGGTGCTATCAAGGAAATGAACAGACTCGAGACAGAATAGCTGGAAAAGAAAGGGCCTCTCTGAGTGAGGTAAGGACTGAAGGCTGGAAAGAACCGAGGTAGGTTAACCA